ATTAAACTATTCCTACGTGTCTGTGACATTAAAATGTCCAGAGCTACTTATCTTGTTCTTGTTTTCATCTGGTATTTCTCCAGATGTTTTCAGTATTATAGAATGTATAGAACATGATTACGCAATCATTCAATTTGGCATACTTGGTTGGAGGAGGAGCGAATAATAAACCTTGGTAACATCCCTTCATTCATACTCCTCTTTTTTTGTCTTGCATTTCTGTTAAACGCACACACCTACTTAGGACTCATTCAGATTTTTAACCACCATATTCCAATGCTAATTATGGTCTCTTATTTACTGGCAATGGAAGGCTAATGTGGTGGTGGTCTCAAGGATTCAGGAATATTATTCAAAAGCATTTTGAGCTCCATTTGCCTTTGATGTTTGCCTCCAGTTTCTGACATTTGCCCAGAGGGGGGAAGGGGGTAGAGGAGGTGGTCCTACTATTTCCTGAAGCCCAGATGCTGCAGCAGAGTCCGTTTAGAGACATCTTGATTCTATTAGAATTTGCAGGTCAAAGGGCAGACTCAACTGGCCTGGTAGTTTCAAGCACCAGGGATAGAGTGAATAGACTACTGTAATGACTTAAAGTTGCATTTCTGCTGCTACCTACTCATTACGCTCGTAATGTGCACGTTGGTCATGCAGCGGGTGGGGGGATTACTAATCGCTTTGAAAGGTTTCATGTCCACATTTTCCTTTTTTTTTAACTGTGGAAAAGAAGGGAACAGAACAAGGAGAGTAATTTGACGAGAAGAGCATTGCAGTTCTTATTTTGCCCTGGGCTTGTGGCATACATATATTGCCGTTCACATTTTATGTGCTTGGATTACTCCCTCGGGACTCGTGGGAATGAAGTCAGAATGTGCTACAGTAGCAAGTCTGCTCTCTCTGTGGATGGTCTTCAGTTGGTGAAGCTTTTAAAGTCAGTGATTAATTCCTCTGAGGTTCCATTTCTTTAAAATATTTATATCAGTATTAGAATAGGTGATCTCAAACCACTGACTCAGATTAAAAGAAATTATAAAAAGGAATGATTTCTGGTAATTTTTATTTTCTTTATAGTTTTCTGTATCTTTCAGTTTTTCTTCAGTGACTGTGTACTGCTTTTATCAGAAAATACTTTTTGTCAAAGAAGCAATTATATGGAATAGACAGCTATTAAAATAAGATTCTTTTTCAATTTGCTTGTTTTTTTCGTTGTGAATTCCATTCCCTCTGAAAAGCAGAGTTTTTTTTAACATTTTTGAGTTTAGACACTCTCAAGTGTGCCTTGTAAAACTTAATCAGGTAAGTTCAACTATACCATGTCGTCCTTTCTAAGAGATGTATTTGAGGAACAACAATTTTTCTTGTTTCCTAAAAGTCTTTGCTGTTACTGTTTACTAGCTTTCACATTCTTGCCTACATCGCTCCTTTTTTTCCAAGCGAGTTGGTTCTCCCTCATAGATCACTTCAAAATTTACCAGAATGTAAACCAAGCGAACAATACATCTTGTGCTTTGTCACCACATTCTATCGCAACAAATATAAAAGAAACACACCTACACACACAAGAACCTTCTCGGCTAAACAGCTCTCTTTGTAACATTTCCAAATAGAAGGAGTATCGGAAACCTCATACAGAGCAGAAGTGTCTCACTGCACGAGGTGAGAAAAAGGAATAGCCTCTGAATGACAAATAATCTAAAGAACTTCTGAGAAACTCGGCTGAGAAAACACACTGTTTTTATTATTCATCTCTCACGTATACGATGAAACAACTTGCTCTCACATATGGCCCACCCTACTCTTATGCAGCTGACCTGTATTTCCCGAATGCAAATCGTACGAAGCGAGATATTGCAGCCCATTGGCTTTTACGACACTTTTTAAATGGAAAAAGGGACCAACAAAACATGACAAAAGCAATCTCCTGCTTGATTAGAAGCAATTGAGAGAGAGAAGCCCGCGTCATAACTAGATGTAGTTCTGATGTAATACTCATAACTCACAGAGTTACCACATGCTATTCACCCTTCAGAGCACAACGCACTTTCTATATTATGATAACTATCCTATCATTGGTGTCCTTTGTTTTCTTTCTTTTTTTTTTTTTTTTCTATGCGGTTGGCTCAAAGCCTTATATTCTCATTCACTTTTTTGGAGGTTTCCTGATGACGTGTGCTTATCACTATTCAGGAATGCTGATGATCCTTTTTTATCCTGTTCGATTTATCTACTTTTAAATCTCCTCTTCCTTACTTAAAAAATAGACATAAAAACTACCGGGGCGAGTGGCAGCACCTGTAGTCCCAGCTACTCTGGAGGCTGAGGCAGGAGAATGGCGTAAACCCGGGGGGCGGGCTTGCCAGTGAGCTGAGATCCGGCCACTGCATCCAGCCTGGGCGACAAAGCGAGACTTCCGTCTAAAAAAAAAAAAAAAAGAAAAGCATAACAGCATCAGTGAAATAAATATTCCTATTTGAATTGCATAAAAAATCCTTCCAATTGTGTGTTCTTATTACACAAAGACATTATTCCAGTGGCCTCAGACTCCAATTGCCACGTCCTAAAATTTGAAATTAGAAATCTAAATTGTCATCCGGGTATTTCATATTGTGGATTTGCAAACGTGGCATTTTACCCCAGAAGATTAATAACTGTACCACACCTAGCTGCCAAAGCACACCATTTATGAAAGAGTTTTGGAATTCAGTCACGAAGCTTCAACAATATGGAATCATTTTTACCATGTCATATTACAATATTTCCTTAAGCATAAATAGGCCTCAAGTCCGATCACCTTTGTCTTTTGCATTCAGCAAAAGGTGCTGGAATTTCTAATCTAATTAGATAGAGTAATTTATCTGTCATTCATCTGCTGCTGCATTTTCAGTCTAATGTAGATAATTTATCTGTCATTCATCTCTGCCTGCTACTAAATGTGTGATTCTGACTATTGGTGCACAGAAATGTAGCGCCCTTACTGGGAAAGCACGCTGCTGCTTCCAGCTTGGTCAGTCTTCGAGCTTCCCAAAAGGGAACAGATGACCGCAATCAACAGGAAGCTGCATCGTTAGACCATCTTGAACCCTTTCACCTTTAAGCTCATTTCGCCACTTAACATATTTTTTTCAAGTGGTCCGTGGATATATTTAGACTGTCATTATCCCTTTAGTGTTGACTGGATCCTCGTGGTGTAAGTTGCCTTCCGTTTCTTAGAATTACGTAGCATGGGGACAGTGCGACGAGGACCTTCTCTCCTCTTCCAGCAGCAAAACCAGTGAAACGGATCTTTATTTCCATGATGTAAACCGAGCATACATCTTCCACTTGTTAGTTTTGCTTTCAGAGTTGAGTATACCTATGCATCCAGAATAAAGAATAGCCATTCGAATTTTCAGTAGACAGACAGTCTTCCAGTTTGTGGCTAAACTAAAACTCTTCCATATGACTGCTATTGAAGCTCAATTATCTTAACAAAAGACAGAAGCAAGGTTAAACTTGGGCAATGCATTCTCAGATTCAGCATTTCCTCAGGTCAAAAGCTCAGGCCACTTACATAGTTCCTATAAATCAAGCGTGTCTTCTTTCATAAAAGATGAGCCGCTGACAAATGCATTTTGGATTATGAAACTAATTGTTCACTAACTTCGTTATGATTATTTTGTAAATTTCTTACATCAGCCTTCCCACTAAATCCACCTTTTTTTCTTTGGACACAAACCATAAAGTAATTATTAGCTAAGCCACAAGGAATCTGTAAAGTTTAAATTACTGTTTCAAAGTGTGCAGATCATTGCCAATAAAGCCACAACTGCAAACTTATTTGCATTGATGAGATAAAATGAATGATCGATGTTCATAATGCACCAGGAATAGATGGCTGTGTCTCCATATCCACTTTATTAAAGTTTGCGGTTCATTGTACACGGTATGCATGAAAATGTTTTCAGTGTCAGTAATGCCTCAAGTGGTCTGGAAGCTACAGTATAATTATCAAAGGAATAAATTAAATGGATTAAGTATGTAAGTGACAGGATTATTTTTACAGAAAGTAACTTTGTTTACTTTTCAAGTTCAACTGCAACTATAGGAACTCATTTTAAAATATAAAATGAAATACTAAGTTCTTACTAATATAGTTTCTTTTTTAAAGGTTGACAATTTTTATTTATTTAGTTTTTTGAGATAGGGTCTCAGTTTGTCCACCCATGCTGGAGTATAATGGTGCCATCTCAGCTCACTGCAACCCCACCTCCCAGGCTCAAGAGATCCTCCTGCCTTAGTCTCCTGAGTAGTGAGTAGTGAGTAGCTGGGACCATAGGCGTGTGCCACCGCACCCAGCTAATTTTTGTGGGGTTTTGCCATGTCGTTTAGGCTGGTCTCAAACTCCTGGCCTCAAGTGATCCACCCGCCTCAGCCTCCCAAAGTGCTGGGATTACAGGCACAAGCCACCACGCCTGGCCTAAATATTTTTTAAACTTTATTTTATCGTAGTAAGAAGACTTAACGTGGGATCTGCCCTCTTAATCACTTAAGTGTACAGTGTAGTATTGTTAATTACAGGGAGAACGCCATACAGCAGATCTCTAGAACTTACTCATCTTATGTAGCTTAGGTTTTATGCCCACTGATTAGCAACTCCCCGTTTCCCCCTCTCTCTCTTGCAACCACCGTTCTCTCCGTTTGCGTGGGTTTGACTATTTTAGATACCTCATGTAAATGGAATCATGCAGTATTTGTCCTTCTGTGACTGGCTTATTTCACTTAGCCTAATATAGGGGAACTTATTAAGATAGCAATATAACAACATGATACAGACATGTAGAGTCAGATTAGCCTGAATGGGATTCCTGGCTGTACCATTGACTCCAAGTGTGAACTTGGGCAAGCTTTGTAAACTCTGAAACTCTTGGTTTTATTACCCTTAAAATGGGGGTAATGATAATAGTAACTTCGAAGAAGTGTTAGAAGGGGTAAATTACACTGTTGGCATTTTCTTTCTTTTGCAGGCAAGAAGCTCTTCTGGCTGCCATTAGTGAAAAGGATGCCAATATAGCCCTCTTGGAGCTTTCGTCCTCTAAGAAAAAGACCCAGGAGGAAGTGGCTGCACTGAAGCGGGAGAAGGATCGTCTGGTACAGCAGCTTAAGCAGCAGGTATTATTAAATGCCAGGAGGAGGGTCAGTGGGGCCAGCCTTCACACCGTGTCTCCATGGGTCTCTGCCAGCTTGTACTTTCAGGTCTCTTGTTTCCTATTAGACATCTGATCCTTGGAGCTAGTTAGTTTCCATCATTAGAGACTTTGTACCTCCACAAATCTGTGTCTAGGAAATGCAGAGCATTCTTGGTAAGAGGGCTGTTTTGGACAATGTCACAGGTCTTCTGTGAGAATGTTTTTTAACTTTGTACAACGGATTGTAGAAATTAGTGAAATTAGCCCATTTGACATGAAAAGGCTTTTTTTTTTTTTTTTTAACATCCAGCAAGATTTCTATGACAGCAGCCTCTAAGGATATTTTCATGAAAAGATTTTCAGTTATTCAGGATTGGGTAAGCTCTGAAGATAAGAACAAAGGTTGGCCCTTTTCTTTTCCAGCCTAAATGCTCTCAAAATTTAATGCTTTAGTATTCATGTAATGCCTTTTGTTTGTGAAAATAAAAGCTAAAATTTTCCCCTTTGATGATAGTTGCAAGGAGTGTGAATGTACCTAATACACAAAACCATCAACTTAAAAATCGTTAAAATGATAACGTTTTATATTAGACATATTTTTCCACAATTAAAAAAATGGGGAAAAACATTTCCCTTTGAAGATAAGGAGAGTGCTGGATGTTTACATCGGAGCCCTGCTTGAGCTTCAGCGCTCCTCACTGAGTGCTCCTGGCTGTGCGCAGCACCCGCGTCCCCGCCTCCGTGACTTCTCCTGCATTCCCAGTCACGTTGTCTGTCCATTTTGGCTGACCAGGTGTGCTCTTCTCCCTCAAGTCGTGAGACCAAGAAAGAGCTTTTCAAGTAAAGAAAGTTCTTTTTTTCTGTTTTTGGAGGTCAGTCATCAACTGATGGTATTTTGGTATAATGTTTACATTAACAAGAATCAATATTTAAACAACGAAGTTATTTTCTCTGTGGATCAAATTAAAACTGCTTAGAAATAGACTTTATATGTATTTATGTTGCACACTTTGCTGAGAAAATACCAAAAGATATCTTTTTTCGGCAGGATGGATAGTTGACCTGCAAAAAGTAACCCATTGCTCATTCACAAGTGAAAGAAAACTTTTCCAGGAACCTAAAATACCCTTTAGCAAGAAGAGGACATCATCTAATATTTTGACTACCTGTTATGTAAAATAGGAAGAATGTGCTTATTATTAAAGACATCCATCCAGTAGTTGAAAACTGAAATTTGGCTCATCAAGGCTGATCATAGCAAATTGGAGGATATTATTGAAGAAGGGAGTTCACTGCTATCTGAGTTTATATATTTAGCAATATCAGTTATCTTAAGTAGTTAGGCTTGAATACATAGGCCTATGATTTAAGCGGTTCATGATCCCTTCACTTAAGACACCAAATAGAATTGAGTATCTAGCAGACCAGAATACCGTACCTCATTCACAGTGGTTTTTGATTACTGGCCTCTGAAGACCGTATGTTTTCGTTATGTGAAAATTAAGGAAATTGGCCGAGCACGGTGGATCACGAGGTCAGGAGATCGAGGCCATCTGGCCAACATGGTAAAAGCCCATCTCCACTAAAAATACAAAAATTAGCTGGATGTGGTGGCGGGCGTCTGTAGTCCCAGCTACTTGGGAGGCTGAGGCAGGAGAATCACTCAAGTCCAGGAGGTGGGGGTTGCAGTGAGCCGAGATCACGCCACAGCACTCTAGCCTGGCGACAGAATGAGACACCGTCTCAAAAAAAAAAGAAAAAAGAAAAAGAAAATTATGGAAATTAATTAATCTATAAGCTTATAACCTTAGAAGGAAGTAGCTAAGAAATTCTCAGTGTCTTTATATCAAACCATATGCCTTGAATTTTCTGTAGTGATGTGTCCTGTATACAGAGAAAAATAATAACAGTTCTCAGGAGTCCTTCCTACAGCCATCTCCTGCCTCCCTTTTACATTCCTGCGCTTTCAGAATGTATCTGGATGCTGTGAGCAAGAAGGAAGGAGTCTTGCCAAAGGCATTTGATTCTTTAATTCCTCCAAGAGTGTGTACTAACTTTTGGACAAGGGAGAGGCCTTTTGGAAAGAGGATATGGCATCAATGCTGTTTTAATTTAAAGCTTCTAGTCCTTGAATTGCTGGAATGTGCCTCAATCTAAAGGCTATTTCCTAACAGGGAAGCCGTCAGCATTGACCAGACTTTCCAGCAAATGGAGCTGCCGCTGCCTGATAGGCTCTCGGCGTTCACATGTGGTTCCTGTCGTCAGAAAGAGGGGAAGCAATAAGGGATATATAGATTTGGGGTTCACCTTCTAATATGGTCCCAATTTACTTATCCCCTCTAACCACCCTCCCACCCCCCCAGGGTAACTTGTCTCCTTGACTCATTCGTGGCAAAGCAGCACTTGGAGAGGCTGCATCAGAGGAAGGGGCCAGGGCCAGTGAAAAAAATAAAAACGAAAGACTGTCTAACAAGCTCCAGATGTTCTGTGGTGGGTGCCAACCCGTGTGTTCAGACCTTAAGTCATGAAGAAGCCCTGCTGTGATTGTCAGGTCCCCGCACGAGATTTCGTGTAAACTCAGATAGAACCCTGGAAAGCACTAATACAATCTGTTTAGTCACAGCAGCTGTCACCAGATGGCCTTTCTCTCAGCATTATTTTCTTCTTTTCACCTCCAGAATTTTACAGCCTCCATATTGTACTGGTTGCTAGTGTGAAATCTGGTTTTGCCGCTGTGTGCTCTACACAGATGTGTCATGGGCAGGCTGGGCTTTTCAGGACAGGCTGGGATTTTTTTTTTTTTTTCTTCCTGTTTTTAAGAGTCGACTATAACAGTATAAAAGTAAAGGCTACAAACTTAAACTGATTTGGTTTGAATCTAGATAATCTCATTTACAACTATAATTTTGTAATCCTCTACATTAGAATTAATTGTCATATAATATATTCTTTGATTCCAGTATTTTGTAGGCATGGGGGATACAAAGGCACAGTACTCGTCTTAAAGGAACTCACAGGCTAATGCATCAAACACTGGTTGTTCTAGACACTTGGAAGACATTCTGTGTTGGTCCGCTTTCACATTGCTTTAAAGTACTACCTGAGACAGGGTAATTTAAAGACGAGGTTTAATTGACTCACAGATCCACATGGCTGGGGAGCCCTCAGGAAACATACAATCATGGTAGCAGGTGAAGGGGTAGCAAGGCACATCTTACATGGTGGCAGGAGAGAGGGAGCGATCAAGCGAGGAACTGCCACACACTTTTAAACCATCAGATCTCGTGAGAACTCACTATCTTGACAACAGCAAAGGGGAAATCTGCCCGCGTGATCCAGTCAATCCAGTCACCTCCCACCAGGCCCCTCCCCTGACACTTGGGGATTACAGTTCGAGGTGAGGTTTGGGTGGGGACACAGAGCCAAATCGTATCACATTCTGTGGAAGGTGGTCCTGGCCTTGCCAGCTTTTTCTGCTGACAGCGTTAGCAGCTCATCCAAACATTATGTAACTTATGTACCCATTCACTTCAGATTTACCTCACAGAGTTGGCATGAAATTAAATAAGATAGCAAACCTAAAGTGCCTAGAATCCCCACTTCCATTCTCTATCACTGATAGCCCTGTTCATGGTGAGAACTGTGCCGTGGGTGACACACAGTGCATTGAGGGAGGGGTAGTCTCAGGAAGCATGGCTCTCATGCTTTTTTTTTTTTTTTTGAGACGGAGTTTCGCTCTTTTGCCCAGGCTGGAGTGTAGTGGCACGATCTCGGCTTACTGCAACCTCCGCCTCCTGGGTTCAAACAATTCTCTGCCTCAGCCTCCTGAGTAGCTGGGATTATGAGTGCCCGCCTCCATGCCCAGCTAATTTTTTGTAATTTTAATAGAGACAGGGTTTCACCATCTTGACCAGGCTGATCTGAACTCCTGATCTCGTGATCCACCCGCCTCTGCCTCCCAAAGTGCTGGGATTACAGGCGTGAGCCACTGCCCCCAGCCTGGCTCTAATTCTTGGTTATTTCTAACCACTTCATTTAAATGTGCAGACTCACATAGTGATCAGAATTACACAACTAGCACATGGTGTTCCACTCCTCTGAGGAAGAACATATTTCTCAGGGCAGTTAGGAAAAAGAGGTAGAGGTACTTTTTATCCTTCCTTTTTTCCACCTGTTCTTTTTAATGATATGACTCTAATATAGAATTTTTAAAAAATAATTCTAAATTCTAATATGTCTTTCTTAAATTTTAAATTTTCGTCACTGAAGAACATTTAAATGCCCATCTGCCTGAAGTCCTCAACATTAGGAAAATGATAACTCCCAAGCATACATCCCATCTCACTCGCCTTCTAGTTCTGCGATTTTCCACGTTACCTGCCTGTTCTAAATATCCCCGAGTAGTATAACTTTTCATAATTCTGTGAAAATAGAGCAGTGACAACAATGGCCACCACGCACCACTTGACTGCAGTGTGCGGGGCACAAGGACTCTATATCACAGGATCTTCCCCACAGCTCTGGATAGTGTCTTCGTTATGTAGAGGAAGCACTTCAGACCCAAAAACATTAAAAATTGTGGCTAAATTTCCATGAAGACTAAGTGGTGGACCCAGAATTAGAAGTGATTCTCTTCTCTCCCTTACCATCTTATGTGAAGATTCCAGATGGTTGGTAATTAGATTGTATTAGAATTAGAATAATACAAACAATGCTATTTTATGTTTTTATGATACTCGTTTGTTTCCCTGAGAGACAGAAAAGGGTATCTATTTATACTCCAGCCCTTCCCCTCTCTGTCGATAAAGAACCAGAAACAAAAAAGAAATGGTGTGATTTGTGTCCCTTGGGTTTCCCTTTTCCCTGTTCCAGGCTGAGCATCACCTTTCTGTACACGAGGTCTTTCTCCCGTCGTCCCAGCACTGCTTCCTTGAGATTACGTCAGGTGATCCAGTTGGTCTTGGGAATGATCCTGTATTCTTCAGTCAAGCATTTTCATAGAGTAGTTTTCTACTGTGTTATCTGTATTTTACTTGCTTAATCCTCCGAAGACCGCTTCATTTCCCTAATCACTAAGTTCTTGATGGAAAGAGTATTTCACTATTGCCCCAAGTACTTTCAGTAGGTATGGTATGAAAAAATACCTGAATCAAGTGAGTAATATTTTGCGTACCTGTCTTTTATTAACTTCTGTCCACTCTCTAGTTAACAATTTTTAGTCTCTCGTGGCACTGCATATGATGCCTTGTATGATACCTTTACTCTTGTTGTTTCATCAGGTAAAGTTGAGTACTTTGACATTCGCTGAGTAGGTCGGGAAACCCAGCCTATGCTCTGAACTGGCTGTTTCTGCAGTCTAGCAGACGTTCTGGCACACATTCACGCATCTGTGAACCCACATTTGTACATGCTTTCTCACTTCCCCATCCCTGTTAGAATGCTGGTTACCGTAATAACAGATTCGATGCTCTGTCCACAGATCCCACTCAGAAACAATTTGTCCCCTAAGATGGACTCACTGTCTTTTGATTCATTTATTTAGGGTTATTTTGCTCCTTCGTTGTTAGTGAATAGAAAATGTATATAGGTTAATGCCTTTCTTATTTTGACTTTTTTTCTCACATGATATAGGACTTGCCATTGGCCCACCTTTAAATGACTGTGTATCATCTATCTTTTCCTCCTCGTGGCATTAAAGGCTACTGTCTACTATAGTAGCATGGTGTACTAATTATGAAGTTGTGGTTGAAAAGACACTTTTATCATCACCACTGTAGGCACTTGGAACTTTCCAAGTAAATCATTGTTTGGACGAAAATTTCCCAGGCTTATTATTTATTGGTACAAAGGTGAATACCTTTTGGAAGGTTCAGTAAACTCCCTTTGTTTGGAACTTAGGGTTATGACAACAGTAAAATAGTATCGTTTCAGCTTTCAGTTTTGGTGGACATGTGCTTTGCTCACAGCTTTCATGAGAGAAAATGCAGTTTCGTTATTAATTATTCTTCAGCCAAACTCAAGTCATTTGCTGGTTTGAAATGTGTCTTCTTTACTATCTCAGAGTTTTGAGTGAAGAATGTAAGTTGTTTTGTATGTGAAAAATGTGATTTGTTCTTATTTACTAAAATTTGGGAAGAACTGGCTTAACATTGAAGAATGTAGGGGTCACATACTTTTTTAAAAAAAACGCTCAAATCTGATTTTCAAATTCTTAGCCCAGGGTCCTGACCACTCCCCATTCGAGCAATATTTAGGACCACCAAGCTGGAAGACAATAAATAATTGGATTCTTACATGTCAAACTGATTGTTGGCTCTCTGTAGTATACATGAATTGTTTTTGAACGAAGCTAAAATCCTGTGAAGACATACTAATCATCTAATATGAACCCAGTTAGATGAAAATCACCTTTTGGGACTTATTCTGTTAAAAAATTATGTGAAAAGTTCTCCCAACTAGCCAAGCAAATAGACCTGTCTGTAGTCTACTTAGTGATTTAAAGCCTTTTCCTTAGAAATGAAATCCATGATGGAAGCTTCTTGCCAATAAGAATAATGGAGAATCAACCTTTAAAGCCACATACATGACGTAAAATCTCAAGTTGCCATTATTCCGTATTGTCATACGGAATAGAGAGACGTGGCTAGTCAGTTTTATTAACTACTTTCCCTTCCTTTCCTCTGTCCTATTTTCTGAACCAACAGAGGACTAAATTTTCTTACAGAGGCAGAAAGTTAAGACTTAAGATTTAAGGAATATGAGGGTAGGGTGTACCTTGTTGACTGTTATATTATTGCATCTGAGCCTTCAGATGACATCCTGAAATAAATCGCATAGTTAGGGTATTTTATACCTATCATTATCATTAGGGGCTTCACGGTTTTGACAAATACACTATCAAAGGGAAGCACATCACAAGGAACACTACTTGCAGGTCAAATATTGACTAATCTAGGGAGTATATTGTGTGATATTTTGGTCTGATTTTTCACTTTCAGTTTGTTGCTGTAATACACATACGGAATTTTTTAAATATATGTATTTTAGATTTATGCCGTGTTTGTAAATTCCCATAAATACATAAAAGGGCCATGCTAAGCTGTCTTTGGGGTGGCCACACTAGTGTATTTTCCTCTCACATTTTGCCATAAGCAGCAAGAAGAAACCAGGCCCACACCTTCAGCACTTTAACTGGAAATCTACTTAGCTGGATCTCTCAGTTCATTCAGCACATTCTCCACTTTCCACACAGCTGCAGGTGACGTTGTTGCTAACGTTCTGGTACCGCATATCAACGATCCCAGTGACAAGTTCTTCGCTTCCCTTTAAGATCCAGTGGCAGCCTCCTGAAAACCCCCATTTCAGCAAACAGCCAAAATTCAGGGCACTTTAGGTTTGCATTAGTACTCTCCTCAGAATCTTTCCAAGTCTTCCAGCTTCCGCCCACTGCCCAGCTCCAAAGCCACGCTGGCGTTTGAAGTTTTGTTACAGTGTTACCCCCATTCACAGTTATGCCAGAATCTGTTAGTTATCTATTACTGCATAAAAATTACTCTTAGTGGCTTAAAGTAATCGTTACTGTCTCACACAGTGACTGAGCACCAGGAATCTCCACGCAGCTTAGCAGGTGGTTCTGACTCGGGGTCCCTTATGAGTTTACAGTCAGGCTCTTGGTATTCAGTCATCTGAAGGGTTGGCTAGGGATGGAGGACCCACTTCCAAATTCATTCGTGAATTTATTTTTATTTTTTATTCTTTTTATTTTTTATTTTTATTTTTTTTATTTTTTTTGGCTATAGAGCATTTATTACAAACAAAATTGAGGTAACAGAAGCTGACCCAGAAGCCACGCCCGCCCAGGCTGGGCCATCTCTACTTGCCCCACACCAGTCCCTGAGCACCTCGGGCCCAAAGCAGCCCCCGGAGGACAGACATGTCCCGCACACTGAGGTAGCTGCATCTTAAGCCCCTTCAACTCCCTAGGGTTGCCCAGTTCCCACACAGATCCCTGTCTGGAGGGGAGGAGGAGGGAGGGGCAGGCAGGTGGAGCCCTAGCTTCAGGTGGGGCATACCCCACACCCCAACAAACATTCCAGCCTCTTAGGCTGGGCGCTTTCCCGCCTGCCCACCCAGCCAGCCATGGGACAGCAGGGTGGCCACCAGAGGCAGTGTGCCAGGGCAAGAGGTCACGGCTGCTTCGGGCAGTCCTCGGTCACCCTCTGGGAGGCCAACTCGACCAGCACATTCTGCAGGTAGTTGGGGTCGGGGTAGCTGTGGCCTGTCGTGTTGCAGTCCATCTCTGTCTTGTGGTAGATCTCATTCCACGCCCCAGCATCGCTATCACCCATGGTACTGGACGTGCCCGCTGTGAAGATGAGCCACCTTTTCCAGGCCACCTTCGGGAGCTCCAGGACCTTGTGGCCCTGGATGTTGTCTGGATGGTAGCACTGGCAGGGAACCCTCTGGCAGTAAACGGCTTTCCAGGGTCGGGGTGCTCGGGTCCCTGGATGTCATGCGGAATGTTGTAAACTGTGAGGATGGTCCCGCAGTCCTCGTGGCCAGGGAGTGACATCTGGAACCTTAACACCTCCATCTTCCCCTGGAGCGAGGTCCCTGTTTTCTCCCCAGAGATGGTTTGGCTCTCTACCATACGGACGCCTCTGTAGGGTTACTTAGGACACGAGGGCCAGCTTCTCCAGAACAAGTGACCCAAGAAAGGAAGAGAACAACCAAAACAGAATTTGCAGTGTCTTCCATAACCTAACCTCAGAAGTGACATACCCTCACCTCCGCCTTACTCTGTTGATCGCACAGACCAGCCCTTATATCCTATGGGAGGGGGCAGCACAGTGATGCGAACCCCTGGAGACAGAGATCCTTGCAGCCATCCTGAGAGCTGACTGCCACAGCAAGTGCGTGATACACAAACGTGGTATGTTCATGCAGTGAAATGCCGCTCCGCGGTGGATAGAAGTGAACTACAGACACACAACAGGAATAAACAAACGTGGTGTGTTCATGCAGTGAAATGCCGTTCAGCAGTGGATAGAAGTGAACTACAGACACACAACAGGAATAAACAAACGTGGTATGTTCATGCAGTGAAATGCCGCTCAGCGGTGGATAGAAGTGAACTACAGACACACAACAGGAATAAACAAACGTGGTATGTTCATGCAGTGAAATGCCGCTCAGCAGTGGATAGAAGTGAAGTACAGACACACAACAGGGTGGACGAATCGCAAAGACACACCGAGCAAAAATGGAGACACAGAAAAGTACACACTGTGTGATTCCACCATACTCTGTAGTGTAAGAAAGCAGATCAGACAACAAAGCAGAACTTACTTCATCTTTTCTTCCCCTCGTCAGCTCACTTGAGAGGCCTGCAGGGGGAAAGGGACAAGTTCCATTCTCTTTCACTCCTCTGCCTTCTTCATCTTCTGACGATGCTTCTCTGGCCAGCATTGTTTCCTTTGGGGTGGAGCAGCAGCCAAAAGACACAAACCTGACAGCTCTCTGTAACATCACTTGACCCACAGAAAGCGCGTGCATCCTTGCCCTGCCAAATGGTGAGAAACAGGCTGCCTCGATACTTCTGTTTCCATCTGCCATCTGTCTCCTCCTCAGATAAGCACCAGGCAGATCAACAAGTCTGATGCCTAAGTAGATACAAAACGAAGGAATGAGATGTCAGTCTCCTTGACTTGTACTCACACCCAGTCTTTAGGAGTGGTTCTCTTTGAGCCCTCTGTCTCTTAGCTAAGGCAAAGGGGGCCTTCTCGTGAATGAACACACAACTCTCCATGCGACAAGTCCTTCTTCCAGCCTTAACACCAGCTCACACCAGTCTTAGATGGATGTAGGGGCACCTGCTGAGACATTGGACTGCTGACAATAGTGCCTTTTCGGCCACTGGCCACTAAGCTGCCTTTATACACGTTGGTTGCTTAGCTCTGTGTCACCTGCTTTGGGCCTTGGTCACCAATTCTGTAACAACTGGAAAAGCCCACTCATCATACTATTAAAACTGTTTTACATTGTAAAAGAAGCTAACAGTGGTAGAATAAAACCACAGAGAGCTCCTGAGTTGTCAGTGAATAAAGGGAAAATCAAATAGCAAGTGTTGTAGCAGCTTAAGTGCTGCAGAAATTGTGGGAGTAAAATGTTGTAAACATCTGTTCATCTCACTTGGTTTAAATTCTTGATAATGAGGCCAGCCTCTGAGAGCATTTATGTATCCCTTTGTTTTATATATAAATCTGTTATTTATAATGCCAGGTGCCTGTTTTATGACTGAGAAGACATTCCTCAAAACACATCTGTGTTAGGCACTGCCAGGGCCCCTTCACCTTGCTTGTCCTTGATGGTGCCTACGTCATATTGTATCTGCTGTGTACATGAGTATCAGCCTCCCAGCTGTCCTGTATGGTATTATCTCCTTGAGGGTGACTGTTGTTTTATCCTGGAAGATGAAAACTTTGGTTAGAATATTCAGAATTTGACAGAAGAATACAATTCAGAAAGTACAGAAGATTACAGTTCAGTCTATATTTAATAATTCAATGGCCCTTATCTTTTTATGTACTTATTTATTTTTAATAGAGACAGAGACTCACTCTTGCCCAGGCTGGAGTGCAGTGTGTAATCGTAGCTCCTGGCCTCAAGCCATCCTCCCACCTTGACCTCCCAAAGTGCTGAGATTACACACGTGAGCCACCACAACTGGCCTCAATGGCCCCTACTGACTAGTTAAGATAAAAATGTTAATCTTTTAAAAACTATTTTATCTCCTTTCAACCCTAAGTTTGTGTATATTAAGTACTCAAATGTATATACTTCTTCCTCTGAACCATTACAAACACTGAGATCAACTAGATTGTTCCTACTGATGGTATCCAGATTGTTTTGAAAGGAGCTAGATGCAAAACCATTTTTCATCCGCTGTCCTCACTTCTGGAATTGCCTTGCTCTTCCTCAGCTTAATCTCTACTTTAAACTTCTCTTCAAATCATCATCATGGGCTGGAATTTCCTAGCCTGAGGTCAGTATTTTTCCTTATCATTAGCAATGCCATTCTGTCGTTCACATATTCATTTTCCCTTGGGCTTACGTTGAACAAATGAGAAGAAAGGAGAAAGGGAGGGAGCAGAGAGAAAGAGAAAGAAACTTTTCACTTGGACCAGAGTTGTTAATTGTATTTATTCTTTATGTTAAGCCAGGTTATTCTTGTTGGTGTGATTATTTGTTCGAATCTAAGAATTCCCATTCTGTAGCCATTCCTGTCTGTACTGTTTGTATGTACAGTGTGGTAGAATAGAAATAACACTACACCGAGAGTCTGGAGACCTGAGCTCTAGATCCGACTCTATTGATAACTAAGTATTTAATTGTGAACGTAGTAACACCGTCAAAGAATATCAAACACTTCACACTTTACAAGGTACTATTGGGATACTTAATAGCGCCTAACCCTAGGGATGTATGGGCCAGGCAGGTGTCCTAAATAAAAGGAATGAGTGAAGTGGTTTCAGGCCACAGGAGAAAGAGAACTGTGATAAACTAGGGACCACATGGTGTTGTCTACAGAGGCAGGCACGTTTAATTCCAGCTCTTGTGACCGTGTTAGATGTGAGTCCCATGTTATTCAGGCATCCATTTTTCCCTGGATAATTCAGATTTTTATATAAATCTCTTTATGTCTAAGTGTCAGCAGCTAATGTATTTTTTATTTTTATATAAATCAGGCCACAAGGCTGATTTAATTTTATTTGAAATAAGGCCACAAGCTGCCTAACTTGCCTCTTTGGGCTTTATCTTCCTCATCTATAATATTGGGTGGATAGATCAAATGATTTTAAAGTCTAAAATTCATTATTTTCTGTATTTCGATAAATCAACTTATTTACCTGTAGCTGTATCATCTGCTAAGTGCTGACATTAAGAGTTTAAAAAAGAAGCAATCAAAAAGCATAAGAAAACATATGTAAAGATTGTTTAACTCTGTCTATAGAAATTTGCTTTTTTATGAAAGTATTATTTTATTAAAAAGTATTGATTTTGAAGATGAAAAAATCCTGTTTTTTTTTTTTAATCCTTCAAAGAAATAGATCATATTTTGATAAATTCTGCTTGATTGGAGCTATTGATAAGTAAAAAGTCCCGAAGCTGGGAATGTGGGGAAACCTGGATTCAGCCCAGTCTCCTTTCATCATCTGTTGCATTTTTTTGTCATAAATTCCAGATGTAGGAAAAAATCCCTCACAACAATTTGATAAGACTCTTCCCTTCGTTTCCAGCATCAAATCTAACTTGCCTTTCCTATCGTCAAACTGCTCCCTTTTATGATGCCACAGGGAATTAATTTATAAATCTTCTGAGTTTCCTGATCCCTCTTGAATGGTCTCAATGCAGATAAATCAACCCAGGTTTCCTGCCCGTATGCTGGTGCCCTCCTCTCCGTTTCTTCTGTGTCCGTCAGGCGGTATGATTTATAGCTGCCTTCCCTGTGCTCGTTGACGTTGGTCTGAGGATCTCATTAAGCATATGTAAAACCAGAAAGATTAGTTTGAGGGTCACTCCCTCCTCCATTAAACTTCTCTTGGTGGGAATCAGTCAGACCAATATATGCCAAAAATCTGTTCCTGCTGCCTCTTTTGGTCTCTTTGGAACTGATGTAGATACTCATTAAAAGCAGATGTAAATTAGACAGGTGTGGTGGGCACCTGCAATCCCAGCTACTTGGGAGGCTGAGGCAGGAGAATCACTTAAACCTGGGAGCCAGAGGCTGCCATGAGGCAAGATCGCACCACTGCATTCCAGCCTGGGAGACAGAACAAGACTCTGTCACACACACAACAAAAAGCGAATGTGGAATTAAATGATATTTGCATTGAAGGATAATAGGAGTGGTGTTAAACTAGAATATTAGCTGTCACTGAGTGCCATTTTCAGAAGCTGTAATTTACATGACCAAATGTACTATCACATGACTTTCTAGAAAACAGTATTCATGCCATTAGTCATCTCAAGAAGATAATATTTAACATCTAGGCAGCTGAGCCCTATTTTGAGTTCTTTCTGTGAATTAATTCATTTAGTCATCACTACAGCCCTAAGAAGTAGAGTTATCCTCATTTTACAGAGAGGGAAAGAGGTTAAGTAACTTGCCCTAAGTCACGTAGCTCGTAAGTGACTGAACCAGGATTCAAAACAAATATATCACTCCAGAGCTGACATTCCTAATCACTGTACCAAAATGTGTTACCATCATTACAGTACGTGCTTTAGGTAAGAGATTTCAGTAGCCTTCGGCCATATTATTAATAACCCCATCATACTCAGTTGTAATAAATAGTACTTTAATCTACCCTTATTATAAATTACAGTGAAAATATATACATTACTGTAAAGGACTGCCTCCAATTTTAAAAACTTAATTCAGAATCCTGACAGGTCAGACTGTTTTCCAAATCTTGTATTAAAAAGATGTCTTCTAATTTTAACAATTACCTTGTAAATAGTTGACTGGATTAATGAACAGCCGTACAGCCAAGGAGAGGGTAAAATGACAAGCTGATTTTTAGTAGCTAAGTTCGAAAATCCATGTGCTAATAACTCTAAATTACCATTGGAAATAATTTTGTTATTAAAATACTATTAACTGTCATATATACATAGACAAGATGTATGCAAATCTGGTTCCAAAGTATTGCACAGCATTTATTAAGATAGCTTTTAGCCACCAGCATTTTTTTAAATTTTAAGAATCAACTAATTTGCGTGGTTTTTTTTGTTTTGTTTTGTTTTTTGAGACGGAGTCTGGCTCTGTTGCCCAGGCTGGAGTGCAGTGGCTTGATCTCGGCTCACTGCAAGCTCCGCCTCCCGGGTTTACACCATTCTCCTGCCTCAGCCTCCCAAGTAGCTGGGACTACAGGTGCCCGCCACCAGGCCCAGCTAATTTTTTTGTATTTTTTAGTAGAGACGGGGTTTCACCGTGTTAGCCGGGATGGTCTCGATCTCCCAACCTCGTGATCCGCCCGTCTCGGCCTCCCAAAGTGCTGGGATTACAGGCGTGAGCCACCGCGCCCGGCCAATTTGCGTTCTTAAGAGCTCATAGAGATGAGTGATTGGAAAGCTGTTGAAAAGTTCATAGAAAATAGTGACTGTTGAAGGAGGAACATCTATCGTACCTGAAGTTCAATATTTTCCCCCTATATTTCAAAAGTTTTATGAAATATAAGAATTTAAAGAAATAGATTGTTGAGCTTTAATACTAAAACAGTATTTGTAGTAGTTGGTTTTCAGGGTAGAGAATGCTGAAAGTTAATGGTATTGCCAGCCTTGCTCCTGAATGGAGCATTTTGAATTGGAAATGATGTTTTTCCTGGTCTTGCATAAAATTGCAACCTACTAATGATTAAATCTAAAATTATGGGTTCTCAGAAAATAATTTGGAACATGTACAGTCTGGGCCTACCTAACTTTTAACTAGCTGATTCAGTAGAAATATGCAAAGAGATTGAGTGGATATTACTATGTTTAAATCTACATAGACACTTTACGAGCACACCCAAATTGCACACCTGAAACAATTACCAAACTGTCTCCCGAGATCCAGATGCTAAAACACTTAGAGAAGCCTGGTTGGTTCCCAGTCATGGCCCAAAGCCAGTGAAGGGACACAGGTGCACCACGTTCCCCTAGTCCACCCTAGTCCACAGTGTTTACCAGTTCTTCATTTCAACTTCTGTTACATGGAAGATTCTTATAAATCAGGTTTTCTTCCCTAACAAGTTTCCTCACAGTTACCTTCCTATCTCTCTTATTACTGAGAAACAATAGCCAGGAAGAACTGAAGGAACCCTGTTTCTAAGGCTGGTTCTAGTTCAGCTAATCACTATCTAAGGCTGGTTCTGATTCAGCTAGTCGCTTTCTAGAGCTCTCTTTGTATTTAGACATCAAGACAGCAGTCACAGCAATGTTCCCTGAGCCCGCATTGTCCTCCTGAATGGTAGATGAAATTACCAGCAGCTGACTTGCGGCTGTTCTTATGGCTGTGCACCGAAATGACTGTTTCTCTTAACACATATTTTAACAATCTGAGATGAGACTAAGTGGGTCTCTCACTTTTATGTTGTCTGGTAAGATGAGCCATAACTTAAATATCCTTTTTATTACCATAATGATATAACTATAGCAAAGAAAAAGCATGAGCCGTGATTGACAGAAATTACTCCTTGTCAGATATCAAGATCATTTCCTCCATTGCTTAAAGCTTCTTGCAATACAGTCTTTTTTTTTTTTTTTTTGGAGACAGAGTCTTGCTCTTTTTCCCAGGCTGGAGTACAGTGGCATGAGCTTGGCTCACTGCAACCTCCACCTCCCAGGTTCAAGCGATTCTCCTGCCTCAGCCTCCTGAGTAGCTGGGACTACAGGTGCCTGCCACCACGCCTGGCTAATTTTTGTATTTTTAGTAGAGACAAGGTTTCACCATATTGGCCAGGCTAATCTCGAACTACTGACCTTGTGATCTGCCCACCTCGGCCTCCCAAAATGTTGGGATTACAGGCCTGAGCCACCGTGCCCAGTCACAAAAAAAAATTTAATGAAATGCATACAGCCAGGCACGGTGGCTTATACCTGTAATC